CTTGATTATTCAATTTAACGTAATTATATTTGTGTTTGTAAAATACATAATATTTTTCTAATGGTTGAAAAAAAAAATTATACAAAAAAAATCCAATAACGGTCATGAGGGGGAATTAACTTTGAGTTTAAAACCAAAGTCGGTAGGTGCAAAAAACAGAGGTCGGATCAATTAATGATAGACCCACCTTTTATTTAATGCAATTAACTCAGCCATTCCCCCTCCCGCTCCCTCTCCCTCTCTTGGGGTCGGTGTTTGTTAGTTGTTTGCTTAAAAGAATTGTTTGTGGCTTGTTTTAATTTAGAATTTTGTATCAAATTGTTTGATATGGTTTCTATTTATAATTTAGTTGGTAAAAATAACTTAAATAAATTAAAAAAGGTGATAATTTTAAAATTAGAAAAGAAATATTTTTAACTTTTGATAATGCAAAATGGACAATAGAGGAGGGGTCAGACTGATCCACGCGTTCGGCGAGTCTGCTGGCCTTCGTCTTCTTAATGTATGCCTGCAAAGGGTCCGATGGGGAGGTGCCAAGATTGGAATGGTTTCTCCTCGTAAACACTCCGACAATCAAATTAGATTAAAAGTGATAAAAAAGTAGAGAGAGAGAGAGATTTTACCGTTAACCTTCTTCACGAGCTTCTTTATATCTCTTACCAATCATTTCCTTATCCATTCAAACTGTCTTATTGGTCGAAAGTCTAGGGTCTACTTGTCATCGACCATGGCAGTTTCACCATACTCGGGAGCGAGATGTTTTGTTGCATTTAATGCCATGACAACCTCATTTAATGCTTGATGTCTGCGCTCAATAACTCTGCAGGATCTTTGTCTATCACGTGAATAACTCCCTACCTAACAGATATCTAAGTGTCACAAGGTCTGAATCAACGTGGGTCCTTGGTGGATCTTCTGTTTAGTTTCATCTATTAGATTGTAACTAACTAAATGCCTGATTAGGCCATCCAAGACAATTATGAATTGGACTATCCTAGGTCATGTGGGCTATGCCCATCAACTTTTACTTTTATTTATCAATTTTTAACTTTGAAAAAAAATAAAAATAAAAAATAAAAAACCTCTACCGACCAAAATATGCAGCATGTGGACCAACTTGTTAGTGTTATTTGTGATCTAATGCGGTGATACATGTTACTGTCATGGGAGTCTGGTTGGGAATTGTATGCTAACTTAAGGTATGAACTAAAAAGTCAATTTATTCATTATTTTTTATTAATTTATTTAAATATATCACACTTAATTTTTTTATACATTTTTTCATAATAAATAAAAAAATCAACTTATAAATCATCCTCAAAATATAAACTTTGGATCATGCTAACGTAATTATTAACAAGTAATTAATGTTATTTTATTTTTAAATTGGTTAAATCTTGGTCAGTGATTAGTTTTATATATAGAAAATCTAAAATATTATGTATAAATGCAAATGTCATTAATTTGAAATATTTAAATAATAAATAAATTATCTAATTTAATGAATATGTTAAAAATATAAAGTTACTAAGTACGCTTGTTGCCAGGGCGACTCTGGGCATAAGCCCACTAGGTCATGACTTAGGACCTCTCAAAATAGATCCAAAAAAGGGACATCTCTTATTATAGTTTTTTTTTTTGAACTCATCTCTTATTATAGTTTAGTATAATATATTAGATATGTTTTAAGTCCAAAAAAAGAAAATGTTTGGGACCCCCTATGGGGATGACTCCCACACACCCAAAGTGATCCTGGCCCTCTATGTATGTTTGAGGTCCACTCATGTATGTGTGAGATCCGTATCATGAGTGGTTTAGATTTGTGGGGTCTTGTGGGGGTGGGGGTCTCAATCATTGCTCAAAAAATTAAAGAAAATCCAAACTAACTTAAAATAAATTAACCCATAGAAAAATTAAAAGGTCCATTCAAAATTAAAAAGGCCCATTCTCTTTCCCTATTTAATTTCTAACCCTAACTCTTTTGACACAAATCTTTTGTCATTTACCTTCAAAAAAAATTATGTTGAATAAAAAAAAATTGTGAAGGGCTCCAAATGATCTAATGATATTTATTAGTTCATTATTGACTTTGGGTCCCAAAAATCTCAAGCTGAGCCTCCTTGTTGCCTTTAATAAAAAAAAACTTTTAATATAATGCCGTTTTGGGAACCATAGTAAAAAACAACGTTTTGAACCTAGGGAAAAAACGCACAAGTCTGAAAAAACGCAAATTACACCATTTGGGAAGATCTAAAAACGCAACTCCTCAATTTACCAAACTACCCTCATCTTATGCAATTGGGGCCTAGGGCAAAACGAGTTCAGATTTGCCTCCTCCCCCCTGGTAGCGATTTCGTCCTCCTCCTTGAAGCTGTGTTTCCAACTCCCCTGAACAACCCACGACCTTGCCGTCCCCTGCCGAAGCTGCCGCCTGATTGGTCGTCCACGTCCTCCCATTCGCCGGATCTACACCATCAGGTAAGCCGAAAACCGTCTTCCATTGTTGTTTTCTCGCAAGTAGTGACAGACCTAAAACCATGGCAGCAGTTGTTCACGATTGATGGACTAGCTGTTGTATGATATATAACATTGAAACCTTGCTCCATATTCATTTGCACTTGTGATTTCGAGGTCTGAGATGTTTGTATTTCCGATCTTCGGGGTCGGTGTTTTGTGTATTCATCCCTTTCGATCTACTGGCCTTCTTTCAAAAATTTGTGTTTTACTAATTTGTGATACCAGGTTGTTATGTGCATGCATCGTTTGAAGTTTCTGTTTTGTGTAATCTGTTGAAACAAATTTCTTCTTCTTCTTTTCCATTCTTGGCACGATTGAGAAGCTCTGTTTTTTTTTTTATTTTTTTATTTTTATTTTTACCTTAACCATTATAGATGTTCATCAAGAAAAATAAAATGTTATGTTCAACAGATATTTGAACCAATCAAATGGACTTTATGGCCTGTAAATTACCTTACACCTGGGTTGAACCAGACCATTTAAGCAAAACCTGAACAAAAGCATTTAACAAATACCTGAACAATTTGTTAATAATCCATTCAAGCCAATCAATTGTCAACCCTGATTTTCATGTTGTGTAATGGTTTCGACTCCATTCATGATTCCACTTGTGAGCCTCTTATATATGTGTACTCTATTAGGTGTATATATCTTTAATAGGCAGATATGCCTTGTTTCCATTCATGGGTGGGATTCTTTTTGGCTATAAATTCTTGGCATACATTGATTTTGTATTGGTCAAACAACTCAGTTCCGTAAAAAAATTATGGTTCTGTAGTGTAAAACTTTTTGCTTTTTTGAGGCAACTTGAGGAAAACCCAAACTACCGAACACTGTGCCAGTAAAACTACCACTCACATTGCACCAAGGGTTGAGGCTTTGCTCTGTTATTTTCTCTTTCAAATTGACAAAAATGCAAAACAATATATAAGAAAAAAAAAATTTAATTAATGTTTAGAACAGAAAATCAGAACATGAATTAAAAAAAGCCGTCAATGTTGGAATAGACATTTATAAAACTCCAACCAAAACTATTTATCAGTGCTGAAGCTATACATATAGATTCATCAAATAATTGTGATATGTAGCATTATTGGAACTATAGATTCAAAGAATTAGTACTGTGGATTTGGAAAATGGCTCCAAAGAATTAGTACTGTGGATTGTGTATTGTATTGTTGGGATGGGGAGGAAAAGAATTAGTATTCTGATTGGGATGTTGTCTGAGACCATTATTGTGGAGGGTGGTTATAAAATTATAGTATAATTGGGGACAAACTACAGATGCGGAGTTAGAAGACCAGTGGGGGCTTTCAACTTCTACTATTTGGAATAGGGAAACAAAATATTGGTCATTTTCATGTTAATTTGCTATTTTATTTTACTTCCCAGACTACAGAAATTCGTATAACAATTATCTTGTGTATTCCTGAAGTAGTTTACTAAAACATGACAGCATAAGACAACTACAGCACGGAAAACTTTAAAAAAAAAAATGCCTAATCAGGACACACCAGTAAACTAGCATTTTCAATAGTTAACCTAAATTCAAAATGAAATTCTTTCAGTTATTCTCTTTCATTCCGCACACTACATCATATTAGTTCAATTTATAATGAACAAAAAAAATCAAAGGACTATACAGATGACGTCCTCTACGTAAACTTCCACTTCATCATGGCCACCGAGGATGTGTGCATGTGGCTTTGGACATTACGTTGTCAAGATATCAAGATTCGCTAAAAACCCTGATTGTGCGTATTACGTTTGCCCTAGAACTGCGGTGCGTTTGTGTTGCCCCTCTCTATGTACTTAGTCATGTCGTCGTTCATTTGTGGTTGTGTCGCATAGTATGCATGCTAACTATCTACTGCACTTTTCCGGCAGAGATGTGTTGCGTGGGTTGGTTGGTGTGACGAGTTTCGCAGCACCAGATTTGGTACTGACCAGCCACATAATGATGTCGATATGGGGTTACGGACGGATGCTGTGTGCATAGATCAGAGCCTATGTACGCTTAGGACGGTCGTCGGTGTTTTGTGCGTCGTTGTTTTGGTGTTGTTGTTTCGGATGTGATGCATTGTCATGGATATTGCTGCATAGTTATTTTTTGTATCATATATGTACTTGTTGTCAGTTACGTGTTCGTCCTGTTACGTAGCATTTCCCCAACGTGTAATATAAACCGACTTTGTCTTTTGCAAAGCGTTGTACTCTTTGTTGTTATTACTACAATAATTGTGTTTACACTTCGATTTCACTTTTGGGCATGCAAAAAATATCTACTTAACTTTCTTTGACACTGATATTGCATTAATTTTACAAGCAGGACAACACTACTTATGGAAACGAACTGATCATCACCCCGTACCCCTTCCAAGTCTCGAGGTAACGCTGTCACATCAACCCAACCCCAGCCAGTTCACAAATGCCAATTCCACAGTGACCATACAAAGTTGTTTCTTTAACTCGTCATTGCTGAAATGGAAGTTAGTAATCGACAATCGTGCGGATTGTCCATGGCTGTGTATAAGAACATAGCGAACAAATTTCTAGAGAAAACCGGGCTGCTACATTCGGCCAAACAAATGAAAAACAAGTTTGACAACTTGAAGAAAGATTGGGTAGCATGGAAAAAGTTGGAGAATGCCAGCCACGGCTTGACAGGGCTTGGGTACGACCATGAGATGGGCTTGTTCATTGCACCTGACCATTGGTGGGCCAAAATGCAAGCGGTATGTATTGACAAAACAATTTATTTTCCCCATTACTGTTGTACTAGTATTGCTGATTTATGGTGCCATATTTTGTTCACATAACTACTTTTGCAAATCAAAGCACTTGTTTAACATACAACTTTCACATATGTTGGGCAACCCAAAACGTGCCATGTGTACACGTAATTCAAGAGTTACATTTATTGTTTTCTAATTACAACACTTAATCCCTTCATATGTTTAACCTCTGTTACTGTCATTGGTGGTACACTTTAAGGGCAGCAAATACATTTCAAGCTTTACTTACATATGTGTTTTCTCCTGTCTTAGATGAACAACCGATGTGCTAAGTTCAAGACTAAGCCTCTAGAGCACTTGGACCTCATGGAGCGGGTGTACTCTGGTGCAGCAGTGACTGGGAAACATATATGGACTCCAACAGAAGTGCGCGATGCTGCTGCTACTACTGCTGCGACCAATGCCAACGAGGATAGCGGGATGAAACCTCTCAGTACAGGCGCACCACCACAGCCAGGCCATGACACTGTCGGGGAGAACGTGGTGGATAGTAGCCTCTTTGACGATGCTGCCCCCCTGTCATGACCCCATTACGCCCCTAGTAGAATGGTGCCATGATGGCCAGTGATCCGAGATTACCAAAGGCCAACTTACAAAGTCACACACAATTAGAGTATACATATGGGGCTCACATGCGCGGAAGCAATAAATTTAAATCTAAATAGTACACAAAAGCTGTGCATAGATCAAATGAAATGTCATACATAACGTGGTTTTACAACTTAAGTACAAATAAAACAAATACATATTACATCTTGATCAAAAGGCTTCTCAAGCTGACATATACAAAACGAACTACAATGGCCAAGCCAAGAAGCATAATCTTCAAGATGCTACAAAATATGAATCCAAACAACTTGCAAATAATCATCTAGGCGTCACCGCCTTCTTGCTCGTCACCTACATATATATATGGAGAGGGTGAGTTTGGATACTCAGTGAATGATATTAGTAATAAAGGTTTAAATGAATGGCATCCGAGATCTTTATCAAACAATACATATCATAACTTGTACAAAATCAAGGGATGAACCAAGTTCATCTATAAAATCTGTCAAAGCTTCAAGGGGTGCTTACTAGAATCAATATAATACAAGGGATGACATTCCGGACAAACCCACGTGGTAAACCGTCGGTGGCAAGATAAGGGAGATATCTCAAACAAGGGTGCTAGTTGCATTATAGTCCCCTAGCATTAAGGACTTTCAAAACAAGGGTACTAGTTGCATTGTAGTCCTCTAGCACTAAGGACTTTCAAAACAAGGGTACTAGTTGCATTATAGTCCCCTAGCACTAAGGACTTTCCAAGAATGTCATCAAAACAAATATAATGCTTGATACAAAACTAGGGATAGTCATTCATACTTGAACAAACACTTTTCCAAAGCAAAGCAAAGCTTTATCAAAATTTTATAACATACCTTTATTAAAAATACCACTCACATAGCTCTTCGGGTGTTGGGATTTCAAGCAAGGATCCAAGGCCTACAAGTACATAATAAATCCCATTGAATGCATTTCAAGAAGACAAGAAGAGGTGCTTAAAGATCGATGTGAAATGTATCCCTAGAACAAGCTTTACATGAGTGCAAATGATCTCGACATTTCTTTCCAAAACCAAGTCAAAACAAAGTAATCATGTGCTGGGAATCAAGCACTGTTTTTTATCTCGAGAAAACATGTTGGGTACCAACCAGGTCTTGGTCGAGGTCCCACACCTCTTGGCCAAGGTATGGTCCCAACGACCACATTCGAGGAAATGAAGTCGGGAAAACCTGGGTTTCCCTTTGAAGAACATGAAGAACATGAACGTGAATGCTAAAATCATAACTTGTTATTACAAAATCTGAGATTTCATAACATGAGTTCGAAAACATGGACCTGGGTACCCATACTTGAAGATTTTATGAAAACAAAAACAAAAGCATGGATCTTGATACAACTTTCGGATCAAAACAAGGTTTTCTTCAAGAACACAAGAACATCATTTTCTCTTTCTAAAACCGAATTTCAAAGCAATGCATGGCTCATGAATCATGCTAGATCATGCAATGTAGTTAGATGAACATAAATAACAACAAGAGCAAAACAAGAATCTAACCTCAAAACACGATTCCAACGGTTCAACCTCTAAGGATCAAGCTTGGAAATCTATTCTCACTCAAGAACTCCTTCTTCCTCTTCCTAGAGTTTTTCTCTCTTCCTAGAACAAAGATGTAGCAAATGATAGGTTTTCTCTACTACCGGCTGACTTAACCCTCTGTTGGGACACGTGGCAACGGCTGGTTGGCTCTCTTCAAAAGGTGACTGACTGACAAGACAAGAGCATGACAAAGTGTATACAACAAGCAAGGTGACATGGGCACTCCGGCAGGTAATGATCTCGGGTTAGGACAAAGGCTTCGGCAAGTAAGGTCTCAATGATCTCGGCTAGGAAGGATAACACTTGGCCCAGCTGTGCCACACCTCGGCCTAGATGTGCCACACCTTGATCTAGGTCATTCCAGTCCTAGTACAAGGTCACTAGGTGCAAGGTTCAAGGATGTCGGATGCCTAGATGATAGCATCTCGGCCTAGAGGATGACATCTTGGCCAAGACGCTAGGGTGAAGATGGAGGTCAACCAAAGTGGTTCTAAGATGGTCCTAGGTGTAAGAGGTTCAAATGTGTGACCTAGGCTTAAGATGGCCTCGGTTTAACACACACTAAGCGAGAAACAAAACATGCAAGCAACACTCAGACAAAACAAATTAAGGTCTGTAAATGCAACTTAACAAAACAAATTCATGTGTATGCCTGTGAGCACGACCAAGATGAAGCGAGGGTTGTTACATCCTACCCCTTTAAGGAAGTTTGGTCCCCAAACTTAAGTTACCTCGTCCCACAAACAATTCCGAATGTCGGATTTTCATTTCTTCTTCCATTTCCCATGTAGCATCCTTGCTATAATGCTCTTTCCATTCAACCTTCACTATCGGTATCGACTTGTTCCTTAACTGTTTCACTTGCCTATCAAGAATCCGTATCGGCTTCTCCTCATAACCTAAATCTTCATTAATCACAATTCCGAAATGATCAATCACATGCAATGGATCCTGAATATACTTCCTCAACATCAAAATGTGAAACACATTGTGGACTTGACTTAATTCTGGCGGCAAAGCAAGTCTGTAAGCAACTGGGTTAACTCTTTCAAAGATTTCAAATGGTCCAATATAACGAGGTGCAAATTTACCTTTCTTCCCAATCTTGAAACTCCCTTCATCGGCGAAATCTTCAGGAATACATGATTCCCAACTTCAAATTCTAACTCTCTTCTCCTCTGGTCGGCGTAACTCTTTTGTCAACTCTGAGCAGTCCTAATTCTTTGTCAGATAAGTTTAATCTTCTCAGTTGTCACTTGAATAAGTTCGGGACCGATTAAAGCTTTGTCTCCTACTTCGGTCCAACATATCGGCGATCTGCACTTCCTTCCATACAGAGCTTCATACGGCGCCATGCCAATGCTAGCTTGATAACTGTTGTTGTAAGCAAATTCTACTAATGGCAAATGAACTTCCCAGCTTCCCTTGAAGTCCAATACACATAGTCTAAACATATCTTCAAGCGTCTGAATTGTTCTCTCTGTTTGTCCATCGGTCTGGGGATGAAAAGCGGTGCTAAACCTCAACTTGGCTCCCAAAGCTCCTTGTAGACTCTGCCAAAATCTAGAGACAAACTTCGGATCTCGGTCTGACACAATGGACATCGACACTCCATGAAGTCTAACAATCTCATTCATATACACCAAAGCAAGTTGATCGGCATTAAACGTAGTCTTAACAGGTAAGAAGTGTGCTAACTTAGTTAATCTATCAACGATAACCCATATCGAATCCATACCTTTTTGTGTCTTCGGCAAACCAACCACAAAATCCATGGAGATGCATTCCCATTTCCATTCGGGAATTGACAAGGGTTGAAGAAGTCTTGCTGGCCTCCGGTGTTCTGCTTTTACTTTTTGACAATACAAACACTGGGACACAAATTCGGCTATTTCTCTTTTCATATTCAGCCACCAAAAAGTTTGCTTTATATCTTGATACATCTTGGTATTCCCTGGATGAACGGCAAATCTAGAACCATGGGATTCCTGCAAATTCTCCTTTTCAACTCCGGGACATCGGCCACGCACAATCTTCCTTCAAACTTAAGTACCTGATTCTCAATGGTGTACCCTAACCTCGGCTTGGTGACAAACTCATCAATTACCTTCTTGAAGAATTCATCTTTCATCTGCCTGGCCTTTACCTCCTCTATAATAGTCGGCTCCACAGAAATCGTTGCCAAACATGTCAAACTTCCGACTAACTTCCTGCTCAAAGTGTCGGCTACTGTGTTAGCTTTACAGGGGTGATACTGGATTTGCATGTTGTAGTCTTTTAATAACTCGAGCCATCTTCTCTACCTCATATTCAATTCCTTCTGAGTGAACAAGTACTTTAGGCTCTTGTGATCTGTGAAAACTTGGCAAGAGGCTCCATACAAGTAATGACGCCATATTTTTAAGGCGAATACTAAGGCTGCTAGTTCTAAATCATGGGTGGGATAATTCTTTTTGTGGGGCTTCAACTGGCGAGATGCATATGCTATAACCTTACCCCCTTACATTAATACATAACCCAAACCCTTATGTGAAGCATCACTATAAATCTGAAATTCCTCGTTACCTGATGGTAGTACAAGAACTGGTGCTGTAACTAACCTTGTCTTGAGCTCCTGGAAAGCTGATTCTTTAACCTTGGTACTGCAATCTTCGAGAAATCCTTCACAAACTTTCTGTAATAACCTGCCAAACCCAGAAAACTACGAACCTCGGACACATTAGTCGGTGTCAGCCAATTCACAATGGCTTCAATTTTGCTAGGATCAATCGAAATACCTTATTTATTAATCACATGTCCCAAAAATGAAATGCTGGAAAGCCAAAACTCATACTTGCTAAGCTTGGCATATAATTTTCTATCCCTCAGAATTTGTAAGGCAAGTCTTAGATGCCTCTCATGCTCATCACTACCCTTGGAATAGATCAATATATCGTCGATGAAAACAACCACGAACTCATCTAGGTATGGCTTGAAGACTCTATTCATCAAATCCATGAATGTTGCAGGAGCATTAGTCACTCCAAAAGGCATTACCAAAAATTCGTAGTGGCCATATTTTGTCCGAAAAGTAGTTTTCTCAACGTCCTTGGCCTTAACCTTCAGCTGATGGTAGCCCGATCTGAGATCAATCTTAAAAAAGACTCATGCCCCTTGTAGTTGATCAAGCAAATCATTGATCCTCGGCAATGGGTACTTATTCTTAATGGTTACCTTGTTCAATTCTCGGTAGTCGATACAAAGACGAAGTGTACCATCATTTTTCCTGACAAATAGAACTGGTGCTCCCCATGGTGAAATGCTCGGCCTAATAACTCCCTTATCCAACAATTCTTGTAATTGTAGTTTCAATTCCTTAAGCTCGGCTAGGGCCATTCTATAG